CTACGTGCATTGGTGTAAACACACTTGAGCTGGGCTGTCAATCTCACCCCTGGCCTTGGCACTCCAAGCCTGGGCTCATCCCTAGTGAGCTGGGCAATATCCCCTTCCCCCTTCGAACCTAGTTTAAAGCCCTCTCAATGAGCCCCGCCAGCTCGTGTTCTGAGGACAGCACTCAAAGAAGCACTATGAATACTGTCAACAGGGAGGTTTCCACTGTTAAAACTCTGTGGGCAGCTCCAGAAAGAAAACAAAATACTATTTGCACTCTTCAGTCAAAATGTACTCAGCTTCATTTTGCTGTCTGTCTACTGCGCTCTTCTCACACGTTTTCACATCTTTTCACTGTTCTTAGGCAGCGGTATTAGTTTACACGTGCACTGACTGTGCCTTGTCCTTTTATTCCTTCTGCTTCTTAAAGGCTAAGTCAAATAACATTAGTGCGCCGGGCCTGGCGCAGTCAGCGATGAGGCCACAGAAATACCAGGCTAAGAGGAACTCACTGCAGCCTCCTCCTCCACCTGAAAGGCGGTCATCTGCTGTTTCTGTTTCACCAATTCTACCCTCCAAAGTCAAACGAGACAGCGGCGTTTTCCTAACAGATCCGGACAGCTTTCCAGCACCACCACCTACACTGAAGATTGATTTTTCCCCACCGTCTGATTTCTGTGAATCTCCTCCTGATTTTGTGCCTCCACCACCACCAGCCTCCAGCAGCGGTAATGGAGACCTGCCATTACCCCCTCCACCTCCACCTCCACCTGTCTCCAGTAAGCCACCACCTCCAACAAAGAAACCTGTGCCACTTCCTTCAAAAAGGGTAGAAAACACAGGACAAGCTGGAGAGCCACGATCAGCTGGGCCACCTCCACTTGGGGGTGGAGGCAGGCAAGCAGATTTCATGTCCGACCTAATGAAAGCTCTTGAGAAGAAAAGGGGCAGCAGCTCCTGAACTGTGGGACCACGTGGACTTCTTAGCTGTAGCTGGTTTTGTGAGGCACAAGGCTGGTTTTGCGTGGAAGGTCGTGCTGGATCAGGCCTCTCCAGGAGGAATTCTCCTTCAGAGTTCCTCCTTGGGGGTCGCAAGTAGTAAGGTGCAGTGCCCTCTGTCCCCCACTTTGTCACTATAACCTGCTTGTTCCCACCACCATTAACTACCATTCCAGCATGAGGCCAAGGTAAGAATTGGCTGCAGAGTCTTGCTTCACTCCATCAGGACAGCCAGGGACGGTGGAGCAGCACTCGCAGAGCCAGCCAGCGAGTGAAATGCATCTTCTGTGGCTGCCTCTCTACTAGAATTGGAGCTGGAGGAAAAAATACAGCAATGTTCTCGTGTGAATCTTGAGAAGTGGGAAGATCACTTTTCACAGAATTCCTCTTAAAGGTTCTTTCTCAGAAAAACCCCAATTGTGGTGGGTAAGACAATTTTTTTTCAAAAACCGTCTGTCTTAAAAAGTAAAACCTCAGCTAGATTATTCTGAGATGCATGGCAGGACCAGGGCCATTTCCAGACAGTGTCACCTCAGTCGTTATAGAGTCCTGCTTCCGTATGCAACTCCACTCATACTTGTCAGCACTCACAGTTGCTGCCTTTAAATCTCATTTATTTGGTTAATTTTAGACAAATTTTTATTTAGAAATCTTGTATGCTTCCCTTGGTAAGCAAGGTTGTTTTTTTTTTCCTGATGGTTAACATTTGTCTTCAAACTGTACCTAGAAATAGTCTGTCTTCTGAAAGACTTTGCAATTATCTTGTACCTGATACGAATGTCTCCTCCTACATTTTTTTTTCTTTTGTTCTCCCATTTTAATTCCCATTGTTCATTTAGGCAGCATTCATTATTAAATCTCAAATAAAAATAGCTTCTATTTTATATCTCCACAGTGTCATAGTTAATGAACAGGCATTTTACTGGTACCATTTCAAATATTTTAAAGAGTTTTTGCCTGTACCTTTTAGTCTTTATTTTTATTTCTTCCTGTCTTTGCCTCTTCACATGCACACGGTCTTCTAAGATAGCATAAATAATATATTTCTGTATTTTGCAATACAAAAAGCATAAAAAGCAAAGTGTGCGGTCTAAATAAATAAATAAATGCACAACAGCAGCTGTCAGAGCAGGGGGCGAGAGCGCTGCAGTTTGTCAACATGGAGTCCTGGCTCCAGAAGTGGTGGGGGGAGGCAGGGGAATGACAAGCTGGTGGCAGTGCCATGGCCTCGGAAAGTTTTGAATCATCTCTAGTCTTATTTTTGGCTTAAGGTTGGTTTGTCAATACCAAAAGTGTGTTAGTGCAACACTGAGGCGATCGCTGGCCGTGACAGCCCCACTTCACCTGAGAGTTGCAGACCCTTATCTTCCACATTTTCCACAAGTTCACGGCAGAAAAGCCTTTTATCCAAGTACGGACAGCAGTGCTGGCTGGCCCCTCTCGCTTTTGTTCAGATGGTCCCCTGTTGGCACACTTCGGTGGCTGCATGAGTGTAGTCCTCCACAGGACTTTGCTACGATAAAGCACTCGGTATCCGGGAGCCAGACCCCTGACGTGTTGGAGCAACACAAGGCAAAACGTGCCCGTCCCAGCACTGGAGGAGCCGGCAGTACCTGGGCCAAGCAGGAGTGAAGAACAGGCTCTTGGAAGGAGCCGGCGTGGAGGGTGGTGATGGACACAAGAGGAACTTGGGGATGCACAGAAGGTGTTTCAGAACAGGGATGCTTCAGCCAGGCAAGTGCCAGATGAGTCACTAAAAAAAGTCTGTGTGACATGCCGCAGTTTCATCTGTTTTCAGTTAGACAAGCTGAAGCTAAGGGATGTTTTTCCTGCAGTAATCGTGCCCATCCCCAGACTTACTCAGGTGTAGCCATGGGACAGCCACTCTCTGCTTTCTCCTTCCTTTGTTTGGTTTGTCCACAGTGTGAGCACTGGAGGAGTAAGTAAAGCTCATATCAGGGATATGGGGATGTCTTATGACTGCTGGTAATCATTTGTTTGCTCTGTGGCCTGTGGTTGAGGAGCTAGCGTGGCTAGCAAGATGCTACAGCTTGTACCCCTGTGTCTCTACTGCTAAATACAATACAAATATAATTTTTTTTACACACTAATTGCTTGTACCCCTGTGTCTCTACTGCTAAATAAAAGAGGAGAGTATGCAGGCTTGGGCGCTGGCCTGGTGCTCACCCCCAATGCCGAAGCAGGCCTAAGCGCAGCCCCCGGCGCCACTCACGGAACTGCCCAGCCCAGGCACCATTCCCAGAAGACAACGTGGAGGAGTCGAAAGGAGGTTTCACTCCCCCTACAGAGAGCCCTGGTGGTGCGGCTCTGGCCAGCTACGGTACCAGTTCATGGTCCAAGGACTGGTTCCTGGCCCTCTTACCTACTGATACAGACAGAGCCCAGGCAATGTTTACTGGTCTTCTAGTTCCCTTGCTTTCACTGAACTGAGCAAAAAGCTCTCACCAAGAGAACTATGTTCACCACTGACACACAGGTTACCTGGAAGTTTTGAGTTGAAATGCTAGAACATTCAAAAGGTATCCCATCATCTCCAAATAGCCAAACTGAGAAACCCTCTCAAGACCAGTGCAAGGCTCATAAGCTTAGTGCAAGCTTTAGTTCCAAGTGCAGGAGGAAAAATACTAACTAGCTAAGAGTAGGAGGGTTAGAACTAGGGGTTTAAAAAAAAAATTAATGTTTCCCAATTGCTTTCCATACGTAAGTGAGGTGGGCATTATGCAGAATCACTGAATGCTAAAGAGCTGGGTGTCATTTTTTGACAAGGTATTAGGGGTGCATATTTTCGGCACACTTAGGTGACAACAGCTGTCTGCTGTCCAACTATTTTTAAATCAAATGAATTTTCTTTTATGAACTATACACCCAGCATCAAAATGAAGCAGAACATGTCCTTAGAAAAATATTGCACTATAAGCTAGTTTCTCTGAATTCACAAAGCACTAAGACTTCTACCCGGCTTTCCTAGCATTCACTCTTCTCACCAGAACGCTGCCCTATTTCCTCCCTTCTCTTTTGTTACAGCACAATGAACTCAATTTGTACATTTTACATCTGCAACTCACACACAAAATCTTACACAGAAGTTGAGCTTTCTTCGAAACAAAAAGAATCAAAGCCTACAGAAAATGCCAGAAATCAATTAAAATGCTGTGATGATTAGACCTCTATCAACTACTTTGTGTATGTACATGGTTGCACTGAATGTCTGAAATGTAAGTATTTAAACTCTCCATTCAAAGAGCTGAGCTACCATCTTAATGATACACAATTATCTGGCTTTATCTGGTACAAAAAAGATGCTGTAAAATATAAAAAGGTCTTCCTTTCCAAGACTGTAAATCAAAGCATTTGTAGAAATCAGAAATTCATCCTTCCACCTCTATCTAACCTATCGCCATAGGAAATTGTCATATTCCTGTGGATTGCAGTAGTATGTATATTACTAGAGCCTACAGTATTTTAGTCCAAAAAGATCTGAAATTGCAGCATATTATTTTTAACCTTTCTCCATACCTCAAGTGGAAGAAGCCTTAGGAGCTGCTGTCTTCTCTGGGCTCTTACTTCACTGATACGGAAGAAGGACCTACTGCAAGTGATCACTTTTCCATCAGCCCTTGGGATTAGAAGGTTATAGAGCCATGTGGAAAAGTCCACGTGTGGGGGATCAACACTGCAGAGCCTCCTAACTGTCCTCTGCTGCAGAAAGAGGCCAACAGTACAAATAAACCCCTGTTGGATTGCCAGCCACGGTATTTTTATTCTCCATCTGCTCATGCAGCACTGCTGTGTTTATGCAATGTGAAGGACGAGGCAGCTCTGGAATTGCAGGTAGAAACCGAGGATTTTAGGAAATATACAATGAAACGGTATTAATGCTTACATACTCATAATAAACCTTAGTGATTAAAATCTAGAAGTGGAAAGGGAGGTGGCACAAAATGCTGAGCATGATGTGGGCTCGTTTCTCTACTTTTACAGAAGATAGTTAAAAGATAGCGTTGTGATCACTGTATTCTTCATGTGTTTTTCACTCGCTCTTTGTCAGGCACTTTGAGAGTGGAAGAAACTTCACTGGACCATGTGGCAAAACTACAGGACAGCAGTATTACTTACGGGTTATCACTGGCAGTTCACAGTAACTGGGAAACGTGCGTATTCTGTGTGAGGGAGGAAGGCAGAACAGAAGAGATTTCCATATTGTTAAGACTTATGAGTTCTTGTGGTCTTGCAGGATATTCTAGGGCAGTTTGAGCATCATTAACAGTCAGTACTGAGTATTATGAAATCAGAATAGTTACTAAAAACAGGTGATGTAAACTGCATGGTAAAACTAGGGGGGAAAAATAATGGACATTTGCTTTCACAGAAATCAAGGGAAGAGGACATGACTGAGTCATGAATGAACTCCTGGAGAAGTAGCTGACCTGCTCTCTGCAGCCAGAGGAATATGTGAAACCAGTTTTCAGGGCTTGCTTCATTCTTTTAGATATTTTTCAAGAACCTGAGAAAAGCCTCATGATGAGCACAGTGGGCAGTACATATCACTGCTCGTCAAACAGCTCCCATTTGGGATGTTCTGTTTTTATACCATGATTCTGGAGGCTTTCTTCACCTGTAACTATGGGTGAAGCAGAGGTCCACTTGCTACTGTTACTGATAGGATTTAGCATTTATAAAACACTTTTAAGAAAAAAGAAGTATAGAAGTGCTTTGTATTTATGCAATTATTCCATGAGGTGAAGATGCACAGGCAGCTGTGTTTGGCCCCCACACAAAAGAAACTTAGTGGATGTTTGGGTCAACATTAATTAGAGTTCTGTGCTTTCACCTAATTGAAGACCAGGGCCCAAGTTGCAGTGCTTCTGTATTTACCCTGTGGGCACAAATACGTTCATCTTCAGATCATCACTTCTTCGCGCTGTACCTCATTCCGCTGCA